ATACATACATACATACATACTAACATACATACATACATACATACATACATACATACATACATACATACATACATACATACATACATACATACATACATACATACATACATACATACATACATACATACATACATACATACATACATACATACATACATACCATAGTTATCACGGCGTTGCCTAGTCGTCGCCTAGGCGACGCCTAGGCGTCGCGGCGCCCTCCAGATCTCGCCTTGATGATTCGACTCGCCTAATTTTCAATTCCTCGCCTAGGCGTCGCTTTTCGGACGACTTGGCGTCCTGGCGCAGCGCCTTTGTCGACTAACGCCGTAAACATGGTAGTCGAATTCCAGATCTGGATCTTCTAATTCTATATCCCAGATCGACTTAGGGTTTGCTGCGAAGAAGACCATACGATCCTAGATCTTCTCCGATCAGATGCAAGAGAGTCGAGGGTTAACATTCGAGAGACAGCCGACCCGACCCTTTAATTTCGACGGAATTCCCAGCGGCTAGCACTATTCCCGTAGGACTTTAACTTTTTTTTCGGCTTTTCAGCTCCTCTTAATTCCCCAGCGACTAGCACGCCCTATTTTCCTTTAAAATTAACCTTTTACCATATATTTTCTTTAATTAGAAGATGTCTTCTACATGTGTTTTTTTATATTTTCTATTTTTGAAAAAACATATATACAATACTCCGTATAATACTCCGTAAAATAGAATAAAATAAAATATAATATAATAAAATATAATATAATTTATATATATATATATACACATATACATATATATACATATACATATATATATATATATATACATACACATATATACATATATATATATATATATATATATAATTTGTCGCCTAATCGTCGCCTAGGCGCTCGCCTAGGCGTCTAGGCGATACCTTGGCGCCGCGCCTCGCCTTGGCGCCGTGATAACTATGATACATACATACATACATACATGCATGCATGCATGCATGCATGCATGCATGCATACATACATACATACATACATACATACATACATACATACATACATACATACATACATACATACATACATACATACATACATACATACATGCATGCATGCATGCATGCATGCATGCATGCATGCATACATGCATACATACATGCATACATACATACATGGATGTATGTAAATGTGTGTGTGTGTGTGTGTGTGTATAGAAAAGAAAGAACTTTTATTTTTGAGAATCAAACGCGCACAAATGGTACAAGAGAAATGATTCCCATGGAAGTCTGTGGATAGTGTGTGTGTGGGGTGGGGGGGGGGGGAATTGAAAGAAATAAATTCATTACTAACAATACTATCAATCTACTATGGAAAGAAGTGCCTAGTGCAACCAAAGTGTGAGTTGCTCCATTTGCCTCCCTGAAGGTATGAGTGAGTAGGTGTTTGAGGAGCCGGGGTATATCCGAGATAACCATTAAGGATGTAGGAGAACAGCTTTGTGAGTTGATCTTGTTGATGAGGTTCAAACAGTCCACTTCTACGTGGAGTACTGGAGTCCCGGTATGGTGTAGTAAGAAAGTGTGGGGGGAGGGGGGAGATTATTGAAAAAAATAAATTCATTACTATCAATCTATCATGGAAAGAAGTGCCTACTGCCTAGTGCAACCAAAGCGTGAGCAGCTCCATTTGCCTCCATGAAGGTGTGAGTGGGTTTGTGTTTGAGGAGCCGGAGTACATCTGAGATTACCATGAAGGATGTAGAAGAGCAGTTTTGTTAGTAGATCCTGTTGATGAGGTCCAAACAGTCCACTTCTACGTGGAGTCCCGGTATGGTGTAGTAAGAAAGTGCATGCGGCAAAGGCAAGTGCTTTACTTTGTAAGGGCCACATAGCGGGGGAGAGAAGGAAAATGGATGAAGGAAAATACTCCCTCCGTCCCATAAAAAACTTCTTTGTTTGACGTTCATGGATTTTAAGAAAAGTATTGAAAAGTGAAAAAGTTGTGTTAAGAATTGGTTAAGAGGAGACTGGAGAGAGAAATTTTCTTAGCCACAAAATCTTTATGGATATTTAAGTGAAGTTCTTTTTCAACGGATGAAAAAGAAAAGTGAGAAGACTTTTACGGGACAAAGGGAGTGTGATATATATATATTTATATATATATATATATATATATATATGTATGTATGTATATATATATATGTATGTATATATATATATATGTATGTATGTATGTATATATATATATATATATATGTATATATATATATATATGTATGTATATATATATATGTATATGTATGTATGTATGTATATATATATATATATATATATATAGACACACACACATATAAGTGAACTTTTTTTGGATGAAAAACAAAAGTGAGAAGACTTTTATAGGAAAAAGGAGTATCTCTCTGCTTCTCTCTGTGTGCATGTGTGGTGTGGAAGGACTGAAGGAGAGAGCGAAATAGAGACCATGTGGGTCAAAATACTTCTTAGGGGGGAAAGTTTCTTCAGTATACCATGTGCCTCAAAGAGGAAAGACTAGCTGTCAAAGTTGGAGAAAGAAGAACTTGGCATGCACAAAAGTGTATCATTTATCGGAAAAGAGTAAAAGTGATGGCAATGCTAGCTATGTCATAGTCATACCTAACCATTTCCAAGCACAGCAATTGAACAGCAGCTGAATTCGGTTTGGTCAAAATAAGAACCGTCTGTGGGGGAGATTCCCACTTCAAAGAAATCTGAAATAGAATATGTGATCATACACCCACTTATTAGGGTAATCTAATCCTCTATACAAGGGCTTCAAACCAAGAGTAAACCTAGGTTAATCAATGCAGCATTAAATTACTACTACGTATGTTGTTATTAAGAAAAGCAGCATGCAAGAAGTCAAAAACATATCAAACTAGTTTTACAATATAAGAGTTCAATCTTGAGAGTTGAATAAACCTGTTTACTGCTGCGCTCTGCTGTGGTTATATTTCCCTTCTCAAAAGAAACAATATCATGCTTATGCTGATTACTTTTTTCACCTTTAGAACACCATGACAACTTAAAGGAAGCCTGTTTTAAAAAAATTAGCATTACAAAAGTGACCAGATTGGAATTGGTTGTCAAAAAGTGGTTGTTTCAGGTATCTGGAATTTATCATATAAAAGAATGGAGATATTCATAAAGATATGAACACACACATGATCAATGCATGTTGGTTAAAATGGATATGGGTGACAGGAGTAATGTGTGATATGTATCAGTAACACTGAAAAGAAAATGTAAATAGATAAGAGTCACATGAGTAATAAGAACTTGAGAAGTAAGGCAAGAATGTGTCATATTTATTTAGTCCATTGTTTCCCCAATACTGGGGTATGTAGCAGTGCATTGGGGCTCTAAGTAGAGGCGAAAGTTGATGGAAGGTCAAGGCAGGATGGTGGTTGTCGGGCTGGGTGACGGTGACATTTAACGATGATGAAAATAGTTTTCATGGATGACAAAAATGGGTTCTAGTTTGGAAAATAGTTTTTTCTAGTTTGAGAAACATGAAAACAATGTCTTTTTCATTAATATGAAAAATCAGATAACCAGGGAAGAATTCACTTTTTGATAAACTTGCAAAAGTGTTGAAGTAAACATGTTTTTTCTCGTCACATATTTTGCCTTTGCAGTTTTCCTATTTTCCAAAATTAAACAAAAAAGTTTTCCAGTTAGCAAGTGTCGTTGGCCTCAGATTTTCCCGTTTCTGAATTTCCATGTCTTGAGGGATAACACCGTGATTGACTGGGCATAAACAAAATATGCCTACCTTTCTCATCATTTTGTCTGGGAGCACATTGGTATCATATCCCGGTTCCCCATTCCGAAGAACTTCATGAGAGCAAATTCCATTCTCACCACAGCATCTTTCAGACTTGTCAACAGTTCCATCTGATTGGACAGGCTGATGTATCAAGTGTTTAAATCTTCCATCACTATGCTCAGAATTATGGTTTCCTGAAAAGGAGCATGCAAGCCACATGAACATATTTTGCCAAAACATTTTGATAAAATTATACAACTAAATTAGACATTCTTACCCTTTTGGGACATTAAAATGCTCGAATGGATCATCATCCATGCATGAATATAATTTATTTGCTCAACACCATTCATCTTTTTTTTTGGATCCTTTTGGGTGTGTTTGATCAAGTTTCATGAACCACATGTTGAGGTTACCATTGTTACGTCATCGGTTTTGTATTTGGTTGTTACTACAAGAAATATCTTACTTTATCACTGTCTCATAATAATTTTCATCCAAGTGGAAGACACTACAGAATCTAGATGGTGACAGTTATGAAAATTTGCCTCATTACTCCTTCATAAAAATATTGTGACAAGGACAACCGGCTTAAAACGTTGACACTGCTTTTCTTAATGAATGTATAGGGTTTTTTAATTCCAAATATTACTTCACACTGAATTTTCTGCATAATACCATTAAAAACTTTTTGCTCCAATTGCCAATTACGCTCCCTTTCCAATTCATATTTGCGTTTCCATTCAGTGGCCTCGACTTGAGCAGAAGCCTTCCCCTCAGCAGCATGCCTTAACACTTTAGCAACAGCTAATAAATTGATGAATGCATATACATTAGATTTTTATATTATTCAGAGAATTACAATTAACTGATGTTCATAATAATAATAATAATAATAATAATAATAAATATTATACTTCTCATTGCCTCAGAGAACTCAATTAGATGATCATCTATTCCATCAATAAGAGGCTGCTGTACAAGTTCAAGCACAGCCCTCTCTGAGTTCAAGAGAGAGAGAGAGTCGCTGTAGCCATTCTCCACCTGAAAGAAGGTTGCATTTCCCTAACAATTGGTAGTATGATCAGTATCAAATGGTGATAAGAAACTAAAAGATCGAAGTAATGAAGAAACTGTTAACAAAAAAAAGCATTTGGAAATGCGTTGACTATCATTATTGTGCAAACTAATGGTGATAATAACAGCCAAATTCAGATTTTTATTTTCCTACAACTAGCCCATCCTTCCCGTGGAAGGGAAGATTCGATTAGACTATGTTGATCTCGGTTTCACGAAATAAATACTAAAATATCAGATTAAAAATTAAGCTCTAAAATGGTATGCAGTACAAAGCACCAAAAATCGGCCTATTCAGTAAGCTATTCAATAAAATTGGGGAAATTACTCCAGGAATTAAACCCTAATTCACTGAAATGAAACACTGAAAACGAAAGAAAAATCATAAAACAATTCATCTCAATCGAAATACTACGTAACAGAGAAGAATACATTGGAGCTGAAGTTGCTCGGGGAGATGAGGCTATTTTTCATTGTTTTAGAAGAGAGAAGAAGACGATGGATTGGGAGGACCAGAACACTGAAACTCGGTCGCGCAGTTTCTGCTTCCCTCTCGGTCAAGACTCAAGAGCTGCTTCTAAGCGTAGGCGACCGCCAATGAGGAATGGAGCTGTTTCCCCGTTTATCAGTCAAGGAACTTTTTCTAACTAACTAGTTTTTTAATTTGCCAAGAAATGAAAGTAGTGAAATTTGTATTCCCTCCGTTCTCAAAAACACTTCCTCTTTCATTTTTTCCACTTCCAACAAAACACTTCCCCTTTCTATTAAAAAACCACTTTTACCCTTACTTTTTCATACCCTACCTATCACATCATACTTTTTCTCTAATAATCTATCCATCACATCTTACTTTTACCCATCACATCAGGGGCAAAATTGGAAATCAACTATAATTTAACACTTCCTTATTTTTACCCACAAATCAAATGGGAAGTGTTTNTCCCTCCGTTCTCAAAAACACTTCCTCTTTCATTTTTTCCACTTCCAACAAAACACTTCCCCTTTCTATTAAAAAACCACTTTTACCCTTACTTTTTCATACCCTACCTATCACATCATACTTTTTCTCTAATAATCTATCCATCACATCTTACTTTTACCCATCACATCAGGGGCAAAATTGGAAATCAACTATAATTTAACACTTCCTTATTTTTACCCACAAATCAAATGGGAAGTGTTTTTCCAAACGGAGGGAGTAATATATTTCATTTCTGAATATAGGACTTAAACTTAATAATAAATACTGAAAAAAATAATGTTTAAGTGATGCTGGACATTTAGTTGAATAATGACTAATAGATACTCCCTCCGTCCTATAATGATCTTCCTAGAGCACTATTCCAACTTCACGGGAATTTATATTTATTTGTGTTTTTTCATGGCCTATATGATAAAATAAAATATTTTTGTCACCACTTGTTTTGTTGAACTTTTGGTGTAGTTTTTAAATATGTATGTTTTATTTTTTATTTCTATACCAATATTTAAATAAAATAGATTGAAAAAACTTGGGATTTTTCTTCGTTTTGCGAATCGGGAAGATCATTATAGGACGGAGGGAGTAATTATCAATAGTCTTACATTGGAAAATAAAAACATGTGGTGCTATATTGAGAAAGTCATTATATTTTAGTCCTATTTAGGTCGTGAAAAAAGGACAAATTTGTATAAATACTCCCACAAATATATGATTTTTATAAAATACTTTAAACATATTAATACAAATTAATATACTTTTCGAATATACTCTCAACGTGATGGAAACCTATTGAGATTAATTTAATACTACCTCTGTCCGGCTGTCCCAGAGTATTTGTCCACTTTTATTTTTACACACCATCCAATGCACTTCTTTAATCTATTTTATCTTGTAATTTGTATATTAAAAAATTATAGAAATTATATATTAATAATCTATATGTTAAGACAAATCAAACAAGATCACACATGACTATATTTAGGCTTACACATTGAGAGAATTTGATGAGTTAAAGTGCTTAGATGAACAGTTCCAAAAGTCAAAACTGGACGAATACTCTGGGACGGAGGGAGTAAAATTTAGACCTGGCAAAAAATGACCCGGCTTTTTTTATCTGAAACCCGACCCGAAATACTAAGTTTTGAACAAAGGTTTTGACGACCGAACTCGAACTTGACCAAACTCGAAATGAACTGCTAAAAAGGGTCAAACCCAACCCAACCCTAACTTGACCTGACCGACCCGTTAATGTAAGCATTTTTCAAAATCATATACTTTTCTACTCATTTTTAGTGTAAATTTATATTTTCGGACAAAATTTTAACGATATTGCATAAATATCTTACTTTTTTTAAAACTTATGCATTTTTTAGTTCTCTATATTGCTTTATATATTTAAAAATTACTTCAGAATTTAAAACAAAATAATTTATTAGATTTAATACATGATTTTTGATGTTTTGAATTTATTCAATGCAAAATGCAAGTGTTAATGTGAATTTAAAATTTTTAAAATCAAAGGCATAACCTCTTTGGTCGACCCGGACCCAATGACACTAGATCATAAACATATAGTCCTTAACCCAAAGTAACCTAAACCCTAAGTGACCAAATCCAAATCTGACCTCCTCGATCGATTTGCCAGCTCTATATGAAATAATAGGCCAGAGACTAATGGAGATTAATCTACAAGTTGTGGACTTTTAATCCTCTGAGATAAACGAGTCCCTCCTCACGATAATATCCCTAAATATGAATTGTTGGTGTTAATGCCTCGAGAATGCCCAAAAGGCCAACACTAACTTTTTGGCGTGGTGTAGATACCTTAGAATATAGGGATAACCCGAGTTAGTATTGGAAGTAAGGAATCCTCCTTATTAATCAAATGTAAGAATGAGGCAATGTGACCCGATTGCATAAACCCCAGTACAATGGGGATGGGTTTAATATAATATCTTTCTTTTTTATCTCTCTCTAGAATGTGATCCATTCTTTGTTTCCTCCCCTCTTTATTTATAGAGAGGAGGTTATTTTCAAAGTTGGCGCGAAAGCATGACTACTACTACAATGGCTGACATATAGCATGATTGCTGGCGGCCATCATGTGTGTCAGACATCGTATCCTCATTCAATGTGTTGTACGACGGTCATGATGGGTAGGTGCGGTTGAGGGGACTCGTCGGCTGAGGTGACTGGTCCGACTTAGGACGATTCTTATTTGACTCCTTGCCAACCACATCAAAGCCAACCAAATTTCGCCCCCTTATTGCCCAAAACCCCACGGCCCCCTCCCCTCAAAATCCCAAAATTTGGGGGCTATGTCATCCTCTATATATTTAGCCAGAAGATGCAATGATTCCAGAAGGTTGGCCCCCACCGAGATTACACTCTCCTTCTTCAATAGTAGCCAACTTATTGATGTACTCCGAGGTTTCTATACTGAGTTTGGATAGTACATCAGCCTTAGCGATAGAGGCCCAGGGTATATGTTGCAGTTGGTACTAGAATTTGCCCAACATTTCCTAGGAGGTGTCCCTGTACATCCATTTACGCTCTTCCTTATCTTCGAACTCCCCATTGATCTGTCAAACGATCATCTTTGAATCTGTCAAACGATCATCTTCTTGGCTATCCGTAGCTCATTGATGAGGGCTTCATACTCAAATTCATTGTTTGATACCCGAAAGCCAAAGTCGATAGCATAGTATATCTTAAATCGTTCCGGGGTGATCAACACCACTATTCCTGTCCTGCAGGACTGATCTCCAGATGACCAGTCTATGGACATAATCCACTCGCCTTTATCCTCCTATAGGGTTGCTTCTTGGGCACTTCTCAACTCCATGGTTGTGCATTCCACCTGAAGATCCACTAGTGCCTACCCTTTGATGGATGGGCGTGGCTTGAGCTCCACTCTATACTCTCTAATGAATACTGTCCACTTCGTCATTTTGGCCGAGGCAGCTGGACTCTGGTATAATGATGCCTACAGCTCATTGTTCGAGACATTAACTTGATGGGCCTGAAAATACGGTGTCAATCGCTTCACCGTCCAGTATATCGCCAACATATATATATATATATATATATATATATATATATATATATATATATATATATATATATATATATATATATATATATATATAGCTTTCTCCAGTCGTGAATACCTCAACTCTGCACCGCTTAGCATTTTCCTGACATAATAGACTGGGTGTTGAGCTCTTCACTCTTCTTGTATTGTAACGGTGCTTACCACTTAGTCAGAAATCGCCAAAAACATGGTCAGCACATCCCTGCAGGGCTCTTGTTTGGATAGCACCTATGGATTGGCAAGGTATATCTTCAACTCCTCAAATGCCTCCTGCCATTTCTGTGTCCACTCACAAGTGGCCCTCTTCTTTATCACTACGAAGAAGGGACTTTGAGAGGAATTGATTAAGGGCGCCTAGCCTTCCCGTCAAACGTTGTACTTCCTTAGCCATTTTTGGCCGCTCAATCTCCATAATGGCTCTAACCTAGCTTCTTCGGGTTAGCCTCAATTCCTTTTCGATTGACCATTTTTACGGGGACTAAGCTAGAAACAATAGTCTCTTATTTTACTAGGACTAAAAACATATCTAACCATTTTAATTATGGTTATGTCATCACTTGTTTTATAAAACTATTCATGTATGTTTTTATTATCTATTTTTTAAAATTTTAGACCAATTTTCAGTTATTATTTTTTGAAGCAATCGTTAGTCGAGAGAGTAAACTGAATGTTATTCTCCAATAACGAGTACCATCTCGATTGATTAGCAGTTTATCTTGGGATTATTTTAAAAAAACAAATAGTTTTGAGTACTATTTCGAAAACTTATTCTCCATATAGTTATTGTTTTGCAACATCTATTTTATTTATAACTATTTTATTTATAATTTTTAGTGTAGACGTTTGAACTCATCAAATAATATGTCGGTGATATGCTCACGACATTTACCCAATGAATTATGAATATGAAAAAAGTGGAAAATCAGGGTCAGTTTTTTTGTAAATAAGTCAAATTTATATTTATAGTCATTGCCAAGAATTAAATACATATCATGGGGAACAAAAAATGAATCATTCTAATTTGTCACGATTAAGGTCATTTTCTGTCGAGCCAATCCCGGGTTATGTATGCATACAAATTTACTCTTCTTGTAATAAAACCAAAAATTAAGATAAAAAAACTACTCCGTATATATCAAGAAATGGGCCGGCGATTTGGGAAATAAACCAATCTTTTTTTAATACATCGGGATCCGTTCTAGATTTATTTTATCAGTTTTCACCTACAAAAAGTTCATCCGCCATCTGTGTGACCAACGATCGTTCATGCGGCATCAACAATTAATGTTGCACAATTGATGGTTTGAAATTGTTATTCATGAAATTTCCTCACTGTTATCAATGTTTCCAGAAGAGAATAGTTAATAACCAGTGTTAATCAATTATTTATAATTTGCATCCGGCGGGCATTATATATATCATGTCATCCTCATCCTCTCGTTCCTGGTTCTCCTTTATCGATACCACTTCTCTGCTCGCCAGCCTCAGCAAACTGTTGTTAATCTCCGGTGTGGTCGTCTACCTGGGAATCATCCTCCTC